CTGTGATAATAATGTTAAGTTAAATACTTTAGAGGTTCATATATGGGATTTCTATGATCACAGCTAGATGTCATGACTAGCAGAACCTTCCTGGAATTGCAGATGCTTAAGGAAAGTCTTACAGGAAGAGAGGGCTGTTTTTAGGTGACCATGAAGAAGGCAAAAGCATGCCAGTCCCAGGAAGGTCAGAAGAGGAACATAGAAAGGCAGTGAGGCTTCAATAAGTGTGAAGTCCTATTGTTCCTTGTTCACTGTCCACAGGGGCCTTGCATAGGATGCAGTCAGGTGATAAATCAGTGATGAACTGAAGATAAGCCAGTACAAGGTACTGAGAAGCTAATGCACCATTCTTAAGAACTTAGCTTTAATGCAGACTGATTTGGGAACTGGTGAAGGATTTCAAGCGGAGGAATAAAGTGACCATTTGGAAGTTTTCATAGTTAAACCCAAGAAAAACAGATTAGGAAGATGGAAGAAGAGGATTTGGGAAAACAGTTATCATTGTCACTATCTCAGGGAAAAGTGTTTGAGAGAAGTGGTGTCAAAGATGATGGGGGCAGTTTTCTGTTGTTATTATTTGTGTGTTTGTTTTGACAGAAAACCTGTATAGATGGTGAAGACACAAAAGCAGAATCTCAGTTACTTCCAAAGATGTAATGAAAAATGAGTTGAATAAATTTCCTTGAGAAAGTTTTCTGTTGAATAAGTACTCTAATCAATAACAAGAAAATGTTTTATTTTTACAGGTCACTTGGAAAAAATATTTATCACAGTAAATCTATATTCAATATCACATATACATTTGATGAGTATTACTATAAATCACTGCCAAAGGACTAATTTACCCCTAAACTAAAGTTGAAATATGATTTTACTCAGAATTTTAGCTTCTGGCAAAAATGAAGAGCAACAGATGATAAAAACTGATGTTAAGAATAACAGATAAAACAGATAGTCAAGCCAAAAGAGAACTTTTGTTTGGTTGGCTGATTTACCTAATGGAAACAAAATTTCTATTTTTATATAAACACAACTTGGTTATAGTCCTTTAGTTCATAATAAACATTTTAGAATTTAATCCCTTGCATTTAGAAATTTCCTGCACATCGCCAGAAATTAGAAATGGCTATTCTGTATCTCCTAAGAAAATTTATAAGGAGAATGAAATATTTCAATATAAATGTAATCAAGGTTTTGAAAACAGTGAAAGAGGAAATGCTACATGCACTAGTTCAGGATGGAGTCCAATTCCTTCATGTGAAGGTAAGGTTATTTTTATTTTCTGTCTCTTTTGTTAAAAATTTTATCAGGCCTGGTGCGGTGGTGCACGTCTGTAATTCCAGGGCTTAGGAGGCTGAGGCAGGTGCATCACAAATTCAAAGCCAGCCTCAGTGACAGCGAAGTACTAAGGAACTCAGTGAGACCCTGTATCTCAATAAAATACAAAAGAGGGCTGGGAGTGTTGCTCAGTGGTCAAGTACCCTTGAGTTCATTCCTTGGCACTCTACACCAAAAGAATTTTATTGGTTATTTGTTTATTTATTATTTATTTTGGGGGTACGTGGGATTGGGCCCAGGACCTTCTGTATACTAAGCAAGGATTCTACCATTCACTGAGCTACAGTCCCAACCCCAGTTATTTTAATTAATATAATCATTTTATGTAAGCAATCTATTTTTCTCAAAAAAGAGTTAAATTTGTAATAATTAAGTGTGCAAAGTCCTTTTGACACTAATTTGTATGATATTCTCTCAAGATAAAAATAAATAGGACCAGAGGCTTAAATATACTATTAAGTAGCTAGTTCATGGTGATAAAACATTCCAGAAGCAGAGCCAGGACTGTCATAGGCTTTCCAATTTTAATAATCTGTAATTCTCAAATACATAGATTGCTCTTCTAAAGCCTAGAATTTGGCTCTAAAGAATATATTACATTAATATCAGATGAGGTAAATCTCTATTGACAATGGAATTAAAGGGATCCAAAAAGTGGAGGTTTTCATGAGCAATGGGTCTAATTTGGAACAACAGTGATGATGGTGCCACAAAAGAAATCCTAACTCTCAGCTTCTTCATGGAAGGATGTCATGCAGAAAGGCAGAGTGCTTTTCCCCACAAGAAGTATATCTGAAGATTGTGTTCTTTTTTGTCTACCTTCTTTTAAAGGGATGTCTTCTAACTATCATGACTTAGAAGAGAGAATATAGATGATTGAGGAGTTTAAGAAATCATAACCATAAAAAGAATAGCAAGAAGACATAGCTATATTGTAGTAATTCCTGTCCTCAGATATTTGCAAAGCATCTAAAAAGAAACGTTGTATTGGAGCACAACAATGTCCATTTATTTATGTATTGGGTATGGTTACTTTTATATTACATTGCCAGACCTAAGTAGTTGCAAAAGAGACCCTTTACAAAAAAGGTTTTCCAAAAAATAGATTGCAGTATATCAATATCTTAACAAACTACACTTTGTTTCTGGTTTGTGCTCACTTCTAATACAGTTCAGAATGGTCCCTGCACAGTATTTCACTGAAAAATCATTGCAGATTTTATGCATTTTTTTTTTTTTTTTTTTTTTTTTTGCCAAAAAATGAAGTGTTACTAAATGTTTCACATATGAAACTTTTTTTTTAAATTGTGCAGGTATTACTTGACATTCTTCATTACTAAACTGTCTTGGTGCAAGATTAGAATGCATGGAATACTCATTAACATATGTTAATGCAGTGGTATGGTAGAGACTTTCTCAGAACAAAAGAAAGGTAACATGGCACCATCAAAATCACCATGCACATTCCACAACTCTATTATAACCCTGTTGCAAATCTATAGTATAGAAATATAATGCCCAATTAGAATGCATATTACCTTATATGGGAGACAAAGAGCTAGCAAATAAAGAGGAGCTAACAAGATGTATATAAAGCAACACCTCCTGCTTTTGGGCCTCAGCCTTTGGATACAAATCTGCTGGACCAGTGCCAACACTAATATGCTCTGCTTCCTGTTGAATGCCCTCATTTCTGGTCTCTCTGTGGAAGAATCCTGTAACAGTGGCAATGGTGATGCAGTGAAATATAGTAAACTAGTTCTAAGAATCAGGTGAAAAAAAGGCATCATCTTTCCAATGTTCTTCTTCAGTTATTGAAGATGTGGGAGTGAGAACATGAAAATTCACACAACGTCTTTTAAAAATCCTTTCTGTTTTTATTTTCATTACATTGAACTATCCAAGTCATATGGCCACTTTTAATTCAAAGAAGGGATGTGATATCCTACCAGTTGTGTGGAAAGAAGAGTCTATGTATATTTGTAAACAATCCTTATGAGAGCAACAGTGCCCAAAGAAATAGAAGAAAGTGGAAGATATATTTGAAGTTATAAATGATGAAGTCATTGCCAGACATGGAGTATCATGAAGTATATGATAGCTTTGGACAAAGAGGGATTTAGAGTTCAGGAGAAACAAATATATTGGTGAAAACCACAGTAAGTTAAACAGGAGTGATATATGAGGATGTATACATAGTGATATGTGAGGATATATTTATTTTAATGTCATTTTGTGCTCCTCTAGGGACAAATAAATATCACCTATAGTCTTACTTTCATATACTTAATTTTAATGGATACTGATTTTCACACTATTCACACATCCTATTTTTTTCCCAGAAGTAACATGTAATCCTCCTTATATTCCAAATGGTGTTTACTCACCTGAAAGGATTAAGCACAGAACTGAAGATGAAATCAGATATGAATGTAAAAGTGGTTTTTATCCTGCAACCAGGGGAAATACTGCAAAATGTACACGTAGTGGCTGGATACCTCCTCCAAGATGTAGCTGTAAGTTTCATTTATATCTTGACCTATTTTGTAATTCTGAATTGATTTTTTCTCCTAAACACACACACACACACAGAGAGAGAGAGAGAGAGAGAGAGAGAGAGAAAGAGAGAGAGAGAGTGACAAGACCAAATAGTTGTCTGTTTATGTACATGATATGTACATAAAGTAGAGCCTTTAAAAGCATTCTTTACTTTTCTTAGTATGAAAGTCACATTTTAGTAAACTAAAAACAGTTTCTTGCAACTGAAAAAATATATGTATGTGTATAAGTGTATTTCTCTAATTAATAAAATTCTTCCAATATGTGAATAAAATATTGGGTGAAAATACTACCTTCTAACCGATAATATGTTAGTTATTTGTTTCATTAAAACAAATATCCCCCCAAACATATTTAATACCAAACATTTGTTGTCTGACAGTGTCTGTGGGTGAGGAATTTGGGAATGACTTCCCTGGGTAGTTCTGAGTCAGTTTCTTCTTGTGGTGCAGTCAGTACATCAGTGTAATAGACTGTTCTGCAGGATCAGTTTCCCACATGGTTCACTCACAGATTTTGGCAGGAGGCCTCAGCTCCTGACCACATGGGCCTCACCTTAGGTTACCTGAATGACAGCTAACTTTCTCCAGAGCTACTGATATGAGTGAGTGGAGGCCTGAATACCACTTAGGATCTACTCACATACTCTTGCTACCACCACATCTGTTCTTCAGAAATGAGACACTAAGTCCAACATGCCCGGAAAAGGAGAAAAATAAAGCTCCCCTATTGTGAGAGAGGAGTGCTGAAGGACTTATGTAGTTTCCTACAAATCTTACATGTGGCAAAATTCCATTCTGGTCAAGACTATTTTATTTATGGAATGCTTTCTTGGCCCTCTTCAAGTTTTAGTTTGTCTCCATAGTCATATTCCTTTTTTTTCTATCTAGCAGTACATTTTAAAGGTGTATCACACTTAAACAAAAATGTGATGACACAAATGATTGGTCAATGAGTTCAATGTTAGTTCTAGGCAAAATTCTAGTCACTAACAGAGAAAGCTTTTATAACTGTGAAACAAATTTCAATGTGCATAAGAACTATAAGGTCAATGTTTAGTGATTTTATAGTTGACTTTGACAATACGGATTTGCTCAAATATATCTGAACCTGCCTTCCACAGGTTCTTATGGATAAGACAATGAAATTGATGAGTTAGGTGGTTTATCTCTTTGCAATTTCATTAAATAATCTTATCTGATAACCGACCAAAAGAACTTTCTTCTCAGAACAACTCCATTACTCATTGGTGACATCAAATTATTCAGTGGCTCAGGGAAAATGTAGTATAAATTCACAACTTGAATGACACAAAGGATGATGTTAGTGAATCTACACTAGGACGTATCATTCAAAGAAAATCCTACATGTCAAATTGAATCAAATAGGATAAACTTCTGCAATGGTAACTATAAAATCCTGGGCTTGAGTCAAAGAAATAAACTTCCCTAGGACAGATGGATTAGCAACAGTTATGAAAATTAGTGAATATTCAATTTTAAGATCAGTTTGACTCAACACTAGGATGGAACAACTATAGCTGGTAATGAGACTATGACCTACATTTAGTGAAAGTATAAGCAGGTGGATTCTCTTAGTAGAATGAGGCTTTTGTGAGAACCACCCATCTCTGCTGATCAGTCCCTAGTGGAATATTAAATTTGCTTCAAGGAATACCCTTTTAATGAGGTTTAGATGTGCACACATGAGTGTGAAGAATATAGCCAAGTGCCTCTGGCCTATCAAAATAATTATACCTGTCAATTCTCTGCTTTTTGTGTATTTTGAAAAGAGTGAACTAATTTATTTTATTGATGTTCCATGAAATAGCATGAGGAGGTGAATAAACACATTTGTTCTGCAACCACCAGGTTCAAATTTCTTATCTACAAGTGGGAAATTTAATTGATTAATCTTAAAATCTTACTTCTTGCAACTCAAAAGACTCAAGCATGTCCAAGGCACAGTTCTTGTTGACTAACACAAGTTTGAACAGTTCATGATGTAATTTCTAAAACCCATGGGTTAATATAGAATATTCAAAATCTTTAAAAAAGCATTACAGGGGAAAAAGTGAATGTTACATAAAAGGAACAAGACTAAATGCTAAAAAGCATTTTAATTTCAACACTGGAAGCTTCATAAAAGTGAGGAAGTATTTGTCAATGATAAGAGATATGGACTGTAGACCAAGAAAGTATACTTATAAGAAATCATTTTCTCATGTTTGTTTTAAAAAAAAGACATTTAGGTTGAGCAAGAATTCAAAATATATAATCCAAAATTCAAATAATATATCCATAATAACACTGAAAATAAATAGTCTCAACTCACTCATTAAAAGACATAGACTAGCAGAATGGGTCCAAAAACAAGATCCAACCAAATTCTGTTTGCAGGAGACTCATTTCATAGGTAAAGACACTTGCAGACTGAAGGCAGAAGGATTGAAAAAAATTTTCTTCATGAAAATGGACTCTAAAAACAAGCTGGAGTAGCCATTCTTCATATCTGACAAAGCATATTTCAAGCAAGAATAAATCAGAAGAGAAAAAGAGAGCCATTGCATCCTAGGAAAGGAAACAATCCAACAAGAATAAATAATGATAATTAATATATATACCCCAAATATCATCAGTTTACATTTAAAAATTCTTAAGAGGCTGTGGCTATAGCTAGCAGTAGCACTATGGCTGTAGCTAGCAGTAGCACACTTGCCTGGCATGTGTGAGGTACTGAGTTCGATTCTCAACACCTCATATAAATAAATAAAATAAAGGTTTATCAACAACTAACATTAAATCCCAGATAGATCCCAATACAGTAATACTGGAAGATTTCAATACATCCTTATCACTAATAGACAGGTCATCAAAACATAAAATAAATAAGGATATATCCAAACTGTATGTATTCAAACCCAATTTATCTTTTTCTCAGCAGTTCATGGACCCTTCTCCAAAATAGACCATGTTCCAGGTCAAAATGTAAGTCTAAGCAAATACAAAAAGAAAATTGATATAATCCCATGTATCCTATTAGAACGTACTGAAATGAAACTAGAAATCAAAAGCAAGAAAAATAACAGAAACCACACAAACATGTGGAGATTAAACAATATCCTTTAAATAAAGAATGGATCAAAGAATAATTGAGGGAAGAAATAAAAAATATTTAGAAACAAATGAAACCAGAGATATATTAAATCTCTGAGATAGTATGAAAGCAGTACTAAGAGTAAAATTTATTTCATTGAGTATCTACATTAAAAATATATAGAGAGCCCAAATAAATAAGCTTATGTAGCACTCACTTAAAGGCCTTAGTTACAAAATCAGCAGAAGGTTGGAAATAATAAATATCAGAGCCAAAATTAGAAGAAAACATAAGATCAACATTCCATCATATCGGTGCAGAAACTGACTTTCCAAACGCAACCCCTAAAGCTCACAAAATAAAACTAAGAATCAGAAGGTGGGATACCCTTAAATTAAAAAAGAATCTGCCCAGCAAAGAAAATGATTAATAGAATTGAAGAGAGAGCCTCTGGAATGGGAGAAAATATTTGTCAGTTACTCCTCTGACAAGGGACTAATATCCAGAATATATAAAGAACTAAAAAATGTGATACATACATACAAAAGAGTTAACTCAGCCATAAGAGTGAAATCATGACATTTGCTGATGAATGGATGGAAATGGAGAAAAATCATGCTAAGTGAAATAAGCCAGACTTAGAAACTCAAAGATTGAAAGTTTTCTCTCTTATAAGGAAGTTTTAGTAAATTTAGGGAAAGAAGGCAGTGCAGGTGGGGATCAGATATCATAAAGATATAGGGAAGATCAGTGGTAGTAGCTATTGGAGAATGAGAGGGAAGAAGGAAGAGAAAGAGGAAGATAAATGGCATGAATTTAACCAAATCATGTCATATTCATATATAAACATCCCAAAGGAAATTTCCCTTTTGCATGTGTAGAAGAAAGAAACTTTAATAGAGAAGAGGAGGGAACATAGGGGGAGAAGAAGGGAGGAAAAGGGTGGATGGGGCTTAAAATAAAATTCCTTGCATATTCAATTGTGTCAAAATGAAACCAATATTTATGATATTCTAATACAAAAGATGAGCAAAAATTCAAGATGTATATTGCAAATTAACATTTTTAAGAGTAGAAACTTCTTGAAAATGGTCTGTAACCAAACATAAAGGAAAGTGGAAAAATTAATTAGAAGTTGTAGAATATTTATTGTATTTGTGTATACATGAAGGCGATGGGGGATTCTTTATAACATATCATGCAAGATTTCTTGAAATAGAATCATATTACATGGAAAAAATTAATAGTATTTGTATAGTAAAAGGACTAGGTTTTCTCTAAACAATCTCATGAAAGAGTGCTTTTTCAAGAAAATAAAAATAAACCTGACAAATAACAGCACTTAAATTTGTGTTAAATTACTTAATATATAAGAATAAGTCAATAAGATATAATCATATTATACCTCATTGAAAAACATTTTAGCACATTAAAAATATCTCATTTCCCAACTGAAACTAGAATAAAACTATTGTTTATTATAACCTTATCTATTTTGATACTAACAAATTTTTCTAGTTGATTTCTCTGGTGACTGAAAAGATATCATTTGACTTCACTAACAAAGACCTCACAGAGCATAATCATCTGATTTCTGTGACTTATCTTTTCTTGAAAACCTTGTAATTATGTTAATAATAAGACATAATTCATTACTTAAATGGTTTATTTCTGATATGTTGCTCAATAAAATAAAATATTATTCATCTTATTTTTTTATCACAAGTGAAACCTTGTGATTTTCCAGAGATAAAACATGGACGTCTATACTATGAAGAAAGATATAGACCATACTTTCCAGTACCTATAGGACAACGATATACCTATGAATGTGATAACAATTTTGTGTCTCCTTCAAAATCATACTGGGGTTACATTTATTGCACAAAAGAAGGATGGCTGCCAGAAGTACCATGCATCAGTAAGTAAATGTCTTTACAATGATACATGTATCTTTCAAAGAGGAAAGAAAGAAGCACATAAGTATTTACAGTTAAGTCTTGCATGACAAATTAGGGCCAAGGGAAGAATTGTGTGTGCAAAAAGACCCAATTAGTTTTTGTCTTTTATAAGAAGCTCTTCATAAAAATCACATGAAAACCAAAGTTACAAGAAAACCTGTATCATTTATACATGTTTTAGCTACAAAATTAAAGATGAATTCAATGTTATTGATTTTTATTTTTTAACAAACATTTGGTATAGTAGTTTTGGGTTTTTCTTAATTGCACATTTTTCGGATGCTTATGCATTTTCTAAATATTATAAAGGTAATTTTTAATCCAATATTTTGTTCAAATTAATGTTTTCACTTTTTATCACTTTATGCTCCTTAGGACAATGCATTTTCAATTATGTGGAATATGGATATTACTCACGTGAAACAAGACATTTACTGTATGAGTCTGTTAAAGTTGATTGTTATCCTGGCTATAGTCTTTCAAATGGTCAAAACACAGTTACATGTACAGAGAATGGCTGGTCCCCTCCTCTCAAATGCATTCGGATTAGTAAGTAAAATGCTCTGATATCCATACTCGTGATTTTTTAAAGGCCCATCTACATTAAACTGGGGCAAAATATTTATAACAATTTGTTTTCATGTTTCAAGTGTGTAAAAGTGGAAATCAAAATTTATTAATAAGTATGTAGCACAATAAGTGCACGTTAGTAAACAATATTCAAGAATATAGTAAAGAATTTGAATACAGGGGCTGGAGCTGGAGCTCAGTGGTGGAACACCTGCCTTGCATGTATGAAGCCCTGGGTTTGATGCTAAGCACCATATAAAGAATAATAAATTTAAAGGTATTGTGTCCATCTAAAACTAAAAAAAAAAAAAAAATTAAAAAAGAATTTGAATACAACATTTTTTGGTTTAATTAAGTCATATGCATATACATTGAAATTAATCATTTGACTCAAAATTATTATAAAATTATGTTATAAATAAAAAATAAATACAATAAGAGTAAAAGATGTCAGTCAAGAAGTGATGGGACATTTTTGCAGTCCTGCCCTTTGTCTCTGAGTATTTCTGGGACATGTAACAGAAATGGGTCTTCTGGGACATTGTGCATATTTTGTTTTAGGTTTTCTGTAGTGCTTGTACTACTATACATTCTGGTCAGTGCTGCATTCTTGCTCTATGTTCTTGATAATGATTAAGTGATGTTGTATCTTAATATTTACTAGATAAATGGCAATAAGGTGGTAAAACACTGAAGTCTTGATATGTGCTTCTTCTATTAATAATTGGGTTTAGCATACATTGTTATGGGCTAATGGGTAGTTCATTTTTTAATCTGTAAAATGCAGATTGATGTTTTTTTTTTAGATTATCTTTTTGGAAGCTTTGATTTTTGTTGGATTCTTAGTAATTCCAAATATCATTTGTCTTTCAATTATATGTATTACATATGTGTTCTTAATTTATATGGCTTTTATTTTTTCTTTAATGTTTACTATGAATAGTATTGTTCCTTTCACTATAAAATTATCAGTGAATTTTATTGCATATTCAATTGTGTCAAAATGAAACCAATATTTATAATGTTCTAATACAAAAGATGAGCAAAAATTAAAAATGTATAATGCAAATTAACATTTTTAAGAGTAGAAACTTCTTGAAAATGGTCTGTAATCAAACATAAAGGAAAGTGGAAAAATTAATTAGAAGTTGTAGAATTCTTCAGAAAGTAGACATACTTTTTATTCTAAAAGTTATATTTTGTCTTCATATTATTAATTAATTTTCAGGTGCTTTTTATGCATGATAATGACATTATTTCCTTTTAAAAACAATATGGGAAAATTCAACATTTCCCCAGGAATCCTATATTGTACCTTTTTATATATCATAAAAATGGATACTATTTATACTGTGTATTCTATTTTGCAATATTAGCAAATAATGTTTTAGTAATCTTCTACCTTAATCACTGTAGATTCATAATAAGTATCGATATCTAATCATGACTTTTCATCCCAATCTTTTTTGTATCAGTTTCTTTGGGAGATGACACTTTGATCTTCTGAAAACTTTTAAATTTAGCTTACTATATTACTTTAATTACCCTGTTTAGATTTTGTTTGCAGTTCTCTTGAGTCTGCAGAATAATTTACAAAGAATTCACAGCTTATGAGAATGAAGTATATTTCTATGTATGTATTTCTACATATATATTCTATTTATCATATCTAGGCCTTTTAATACACATTTTTGTTCATGAGAAGCTTTGAGCTTTTCTGGACTTTATTCTTTATAGGTAACAGGTCTCTCCATTACTTGTTTGAGCTCTAAGAATGTTCTTTTATCTTTGGCAATTTTAAGTTTTACAAGATTTATATTATTAATTTGTTTAAAATTTGTATTGAGCTTTTGTTTGATGGTTTTTAACTTTCTCTTCAGAACAATTTTTTGCTTATATTCTTATTTTTCCTGTATTTTTTTCTATCCAAAGTGTTTGTTATTTGGGTTAATCTGCTTTGTACATATAACTTTTATTTCTATGTCTTTTCACTTTTTATGTTCTATGTAGACAGATTGCTTTGACTTTTTTCTTTCAGTAACTTAATTATATTTAAAAATGTTTAAAAACTGCATATTTAATTTCTAAGGGCTGATTTTAAAAATTATATTAGTATGTATTTATAATATAGACTAAAGGGCGTTGTTGTGACATATTCATACCTGCACATGATAGTTTAATCAGTTTCATTCCCCACTACCTCCTCTGGCCCTTCTTTCTCCCTTGCCTGGTCACTTTCTCACTTTTCAATTTCTAAGGGTTCACTTTTTAAAAAGATAAACTTTATTTAGGTATGAAGTATATACAAAGAAATTCACATGCTTTTAGTGTGAAGGTGAAAGACTTTGATAAATTATATAAGTATAAACATAATGAAGTTTGAGATAGTTTTAAAATTATGAGAAAGTTCTCTGGTTCTTTATCCACTGAGTCTACCCTCAATTCCATCAACATAGGTAATCAATGTTATTTCTGTCACTACAGATTAGTTTGCCTTTTGACAACTTTGTTATCAATAGATTTACACAGCATATTCATTTATATTTGGCTTTATTTTTCAGCAAAATATAATTTTTTTCTGTTGTTTCTTGCATTAACAACTATTTTTTTTTCATTATGAAGTCACATAACATTATACAAATCGATGAGTATTTGGTTTTCTATTCCACTACTAATGAACATTTGGGTTATTTTCATGTTTTGGTAGTTATGATTGCACTCTTTATGAACATTTGAACAAATGTTTGAACAAAGTCTTTGTATAGACATATTTTTACTCTTTATCTAGGATAGATTTCTAAAAGTGAAATTGCTGAGTCATATGATATGTACATGACTAAATCTATAAGAATCTGCCATATTGATTTTCAGGATTATTGGAATATTTTATACATTCGATTGGCCACATATAAGAGTTCCAATTGACTTGCATCTTCGCTGACAAATAGGATGGCTAGTTTTAAAATTTTAGCCACATTAGCATATATGTAGTGGTATGTCATTGTGCTCTCATTTTATTTTCCTGGTTGACTATGGTGAGCTCTATTATATCTGCTTAGACATTATATCTGCTGGGACATTGTTAAACTTTTTTGTTTTTGTAAATTTCAATGTTTTTCCCATTTAAATTGTGTAGATTATCTTATCATTCCATTGTGATAGTCCTTCATATAGTTAAGATGCAATTCCATTATCAGATATATGTTTATACATATTTTCTCACATTTTGTGATTTTCTTCTGAGGTTCTAAGAGATTGTTTCCAGTAATATATATTCTACCTTTTGATGAAATCCAAATTAATAATTTCTGTGAGTGATTTTTTGATCTATATAGATCATTTTTGCCAATGCTAAATTTGCTCAAAAATTGCCATATTTTTCCAGTAATATTTCTATGTCTCATATTCATATGTTTATTGACATATTGTTATGATTTTTATGAAATGGAATTTATTTTATATGGATTTCATTCTTAAAAAAATAAAAATTTTAGAACTTGTGTTTTAATTGAATATGCATTTATTTACTGGTACCAAAGATACCCATATATCCCAAATATCCATTTTCCCCTTCTTATAACAGAATCTGCATACATTGTCTGGGCACATGAACATCTAGAATAAAGGCTCCTTCCAATTTAGGTATACCTACATAAATAAGTTTTGAACAATACAATACAAGGGAGAGTGGTATTTGTGTTTTTTGATCAATGAGAGACTTGCACATTTGTCAAGAAATTGTTAAATGTAGGTTTTTGTGGTTTTTTAAAATACATATTTTTGATTTGTATTTGGACATAATACCTTTATTTTATGTATTTATACGTGATGCTGAGTATTGAACCCAGGGCCTTGATCATGCTAGGCAAGCGCTCTACTGCTGAACCACAACCCCAGCCCAGTTTTTGTGTTTTTTAGAGGCTTTTTATTCCTTTATTTTTTAATTGATGTATGTATTTGTTTCTTATATTAATATACTCTGTCTTGTTTACTGATGTATGAGTCCTCCACCTTTGTTCTTAAGTGTAGTAGAAATAATAATGGCCTCCTAAAAGATGTCTATGTTATCATTTTTGGAATCTGAAATGCGTTACTTTAAATGATAAAATGGACTTTAGAGATGTTACTTTGACCTTGAAATATGGAGAGTGTTCTGGATCATCTGGGTGAAATCAAGATAATGTGTGGAAAGAAAGAGAGAAGGAGGGAGAGAAAGAGAAGGAGTTATATTACTGTGGTAAAGGGTCAGATAGAAGTTCAATTGTTTCTGAGTTTGAAAATGAAGGAAGGGGACATAAGCCAAACAAAGGGGAAAGCCTCTGTTAATGGAAATGACAAGAAAACTGATTCTTCCCTCAATCTTCCAGAAAGGGATGTACCTCTTACAACATCTCAATTTTACCTCAGTTATACATGACATATTTTTGATATTTGGAATTTTAAGATAAAAACTTAGTGTTGTTTGAAATTATAAGATAATGAAGTCTTTTTACAGAAGCAATAAAATACAAATACATTATTTTTAAAAATAATTTGCCTTGTCTAGCTGTTTTCCATTTTATTTTACTTTTGATATCACCTTGTTGATTTCTATAAAAATTCTGCTGGGGTTTGATTGAGAGTGAGTGTAATATGTATATAATTGGGAGATTCATATTATAAAAATATTAATTCTTCCCTTTCATGAACATGGTAGGTCTATTTATTTAGGTCTTCTTTAATCTGTTTAGTAATCTTTTTAACTTTTAAAATGTGGGTTATGTACATATATTGTTAAATCTTTTCTTAGGTAGCAGGAGATTTTTAAAATAATATTACATATTATATTTATTTTTCCATTTTTATTAAATCACATAGGATTCTAATGTTTTTCTTGTATATTAGGATCTTATTAAATTTACCATTGGTTTTGCAGTATATATCCCTCTGATTACATTCTTAAAGCTTGTCTGTGTAACTAATTATACTATAAATCTATATATTCTTAGATAATTTAGATATGCTTATAAAGGGTGTCTCCAGGGTAGTTTTGAACATTAAATAGAAAATTATTAATCACTACATGCTGTATCTCATGCTTATCTTGGTCAAGGTTTAACACTGGAATTCCTAACATCTTTGGAGATAACCACAGAAGGTATTATTCCTCTATCAAAAGAATCCTGTCCTGACAGTTTATCTTCCCATTTATTGGTCAACTTTTTTTAGTTAAAAGTATCTCATTGTCATTCTTTTTCATGAATTTTTAATAATATGTATCGAATTGAAAAAGCAAAAAAGAAGAACTACTGGTATGTATGCATTGCTTTCCAGAAACATTAGAGTGTTAATAAATATTTCAGCATAAATTTATCTATAAAGTGTGTTACTACCCCTGATTGTCTACTCCATGAATACAATATGAATATGTACTTTTACGTTGTGTTTTTTCATTTGGAATGCCTCCCAAAGACATGTGTGATAAATGCTTGATCCCCAGCTGATAGCACTATTAGGAGATGGTAGAAATTTCAGGAGGTGGGGCTTGGTTGGAAGAAGTTTACTGGCAGACGTGTCTTTGAAGAGTTTATTTTGTCTCCAGCCTCTGTCTCTGTCTCTGTCTCCATCTCCCCTCCCACTTTCTCTGTTTCATTCCAGGCCCATAGCAATGGAGGCAGCCACCATGGACTAAAACCTTGTAACTTTGGGCTAAAATAAATCTTTCCCATTTATGTCTTTTTTTTTGGGGGGGGGGGAGCGGAGTGAGTATTTTGTCATGAGCGAAAGCTGACATATTTTGTAACTAAATTATAGGCTTTCCATATATTTTTATAAAGGTGGTATTTACCTGACTTATACATTAATTTGAATATTCCAAAGGCAGTTACCCTTAGCAAGCACTAAGCTTGTTAATAGTTGGTATGGAAGGCATAGTGAACTCTTATTCTGAATTGGATCCAGTTTATGAAGCATTCTTTACTTTGAATATTGACAGTCATCCACAAAACAAAGAATTCTCCATCCACAAAGATATCATCTACATGGAAAAATATACCCTGTTCATGGATAGGCAGAACTAACATCATCAAAATGGCGATATTACCAGAAGTTCTCTATAGGTTTAATGCAATGCCAATCAAAATCCCAATGGCATTTCTTGTAGAAATAGAGAAAGCAATCATGAAATTCATATGGAAAAATAAAAGACCCAGAATAGCAAAAACAATGCTAAGCAGGAAGTGTGAATCAGGCGGTATAGCGATACCAGACTTCAAACTATACTACAGAGCAATAGTAACAAAAACAGCATGGTACTGGTACCAAAACAGGCGGGTGGACCAATGGTACAGAATAGAGGACACAGAAACCAATCCACAAAACTACAACTATCTTATATTTGATAAAGGGGCTAAAAGCATGCAATGGAGGAAGGATAGCATCTTCAACAAATGGTGCTGGGAAAACTGGAAATCCATATGCAACAAAATGAAACTGAATCCCTTTCTCTCGCCATGCACAAAAGTTAACTCAAAATGGATCAAGGAGCTTGATATCAAATCAGAGACACGGCATCTGATATAAGAAAAAGTTGGCTACGATCTACATACTGTGGGGTCGGGCTCCAAATTCCTCAATAGGACACCCATAGCACAAGAGTTAATAACTAGAATCAACAAATGGGACTTACTCAAACTAAAAAGTTTTTTCTCAGCAAAAGAAACAATAAGAGAGGTAAATAGGGAGCCTACATCCTGGGAACAAATCTTTACTCCTCACACTTCAGATAGAGCCCTAATATCCAGAGTATACAAAGAACTCAAAAAATTAGACAATAAGATAACAAATAACCCAATCAACAAATGGGCCAAGGACCTGAACAGACACTTCTCAGAGGAGGGCATACAATCAATCAACAAGTACATGAAAAAATGCTCACCATCTCTAGCAGTCAGAGAAATTCAAATCAAAACCACCCTAAGATACCATCTCACTCCAGTAAGATTGGCAGCCATTATGAAGTCAAACAACAACAAGTGCTGGCGAGGATGTGGGGAAAAGGGTACACTTGTACATTGCTGGTGGGACTGCAAATTGGTGCAGCCAATTTGGAAAGCAGTATGGAGATTTCTTGGAAAGCTGGGAATGGAACCACCATTTGACCCAGCTATTCCCCTTCTCAGTCTATTTAAAAGCTATGTTTCTATAAATATAGTTGTACTTTTCTGTTACTTTCCCACATCTTTAGTTTTTTAATTGATAATCTTCCTCTTTTTTAAAGATTTACTTAACTATTTTTTTTTGCTTTTATTGGTGCATTATAGTTGTACATAACATCTTTAAACTGTGTTTTAAGAATAACAAATTATTCTTCAAACTATGTTTTTAATTCTTGACTTATTCTCTAAAGAGATGCATCTTTCAGTTTTTATTTTAAGAGGCTAAAATGTTAATTAAAGAGCAAGATAATTGTATACCAAAGAGTGATGCTATATAATCTTGTTACTCTTATTTTTTGTTGAATTTTAAAATTCATGTTGCACTTATGGACTTTGTAATATTTGTTGTACTCAACTCAAGGGGAAATATTTCATTCTCAGTGGCTTTTAAGGGGATAAAATATCTATCAGTGTTCTAGTGAAGGATAGCGAAGAGATTTAAAGGCATGAAAGGTTAGCTCTGACAAAAAAAAGTATTGCTATATCTTCTTTTCCTTGTATTACATGTGAATTTATTAAAATCAGAAAAGTTCTTCATGACAAAGTATCTATTAATCTTCAATCCAATTTAAAATGTATTCAGAATCTTATTCATTGTTTAGCTACTCAAAATGAACACTAGGTGGATGTACTTTCTTTTCTTTCTATTCAGATATTTCCTGTGTGAATCCACCCAAAGTGGAAAATGCTAATATAATATCAAACCAGATGCTTAAGTATCCGTCTGGTGAGAGAGTACGTTATGAATGTATCAAACCTTTTGAAATATTTGGCGAAGTAGAAGTGATGTGTCTAAATGGAACTTGGACAGAGCCACCTCAGTGCAAAGGTAGAAGATCATATTTCCTAACTTTTCTTTGCTTGAGGACATAATGTGAGTAAAATATGTTGATAAAAATAAAGTCAAGTCATTCTTATGGATTATATTTTTCAAATGCAAATAATATGATATTGCTAAAGATTTATTTTCTGGCAAAATGAACTAAGAAATATGGTGTATTTTTTTCAAGACACATTTAACCAGATTAATAGAACAGTTACAATCTGAGAAAATTCCTCATCTTAAAAGTTAAGACACTCAGTACATTTTGACAACTCCAAGAGATATCTACTTTGAGAAACAGAAAATAGGTCATTGAAGACTGATCATAGAATATAAATATACATTTGGGCATCTTCTGTATATAGAGTATATTTGAAAATATGTGACTGAGGCCAGCCAGGGAATCACTATATTTATAAAAATAAGTTTGGATATTAGGTCACCAGCATTCTAATATTTAGAATTCAGGAAATGAATAATAGAGATATTATATCATCCATTTCTATTTTTCAAAATTAATTTTTCCTAATTTATTTTCTCTCACTTTACTTTGATTCTACCTTTGGCTAATGATGAAGTCAGTTTTATGTAAACCACAGAATTAGGTCTCCTTTACGTATCTATCTTGCCCTACTTGCTCTTTCCTCTAGTATATTTAGATCATTTATATTTAAAATAAATATTGGGCTTTTTGTTTCTTGTTTTATTTGTTTATTTTCTCTATTTCTCATTCTTGTTTCTGATCTCTTCCATTCTTTTCAGGGAACAGTTTAAAAGAATTTCATTTTGATTTATCTTCCTGGTTTTGAGTGTATCTCTATGATAGCTTCCCTCACTACCTTTCTTTTTAAAATTGTTGCTTTAGGAATTACAATATATACATAGTATATTTGCAACTTACCACTCTACTAGTAATGGCATTTTATTTTCGATCAAAACATGAGAACCTTGCTTCCATTTAAATCCACTTACCCTTTAGTGTTTCCTGTTCATACAGTGAACATTGTTACCAAATGATATAATTTTCTTTCAAACATCAAACATAAATAAACATAAATGAACAAACTGAGGAGGAAAAAGTCTATTATATTTTCTTCCTTTTAGTAATTACAGGAGAGAGAAAATGACACTGTAATTGATAAAAGGACTAATATATAATATAATAGACTTTTTCCTACTTGGTTTATTTGTTTGATAACTCAATTATTCTTTCTTCCTTCTTTCTCCAACATTTTCTTTTCCTCTAAAGGTCTCTGAAGTTTGATTGATTCATTGATTTATTTTTTCAGTCTATTTTCACACTGGGTAATTTATGTTGTTATATCTTGAAGTGCATGGATTTGTCCTTCTGTCATCCTCAAACTGTTCAGTCTGTACAGTGAGACATTTTGTTTTGTTTTTAATTTGTTATATTTATCTGTTCTAAACCCTACTGAGCTTTTAAGAAACATTGACTATCAATATCTTTATCACATCAGTATTCTCTTTTATTATCTTTTTGTTTTTAAATGTTTCTGATCCTTAATATGATGAGTAATTTTTAATTTTACACTTGATATTTTAGGTATTACATTTGAGACCCCCCCCCCCCATTTTATTTAAATTTCCTGTTCAGTGGTTCTCCATTACAGCCATGCTGGATTTAAGTCCAGGTTTCACATTCGGCCTCTACAGGCATACAGGATCTCTTCTGCCACCCCTATATGTGGGTGGTCTCTGGTCATCAGTGACTTATGATGTGTTTATTATTTTCTCTAGATTAGGTCATGTATTGTTTTAAAGATCTCTTAGACTAGCAAGGCTGCTCCCTTCCTTGTCCTTAGGTTAAAGGGATGAGACTCTGCATGAGCTTTTCCTTATTTATCTCTACCTTATATCATTTCTGAGATTACCATCCTTCTCCAGTGCTCCATCTAGAACACACAGGAGCCCCAAAGTGAACTCATATAGCAACCTGTTTGCCATTCCTTGAGTCCTGAAGTTCCTAGCCAGAGTGAATTCTCAGCACCTTCTAGAGTCTTCTTATATTGGCATTTAAAAATTATTATGTCCAAGATTATAAATTATGCTTAGCAAAAGGGGATAGAAAAGACAGTGGAATGAGATGGACATTATTACCCTAAGTACATGTATGAAGACAAGAGTGGTATGACTATACTTTGTGTACAGAGATATGAAAAATTATTCTCTATATGTGTCATATGAATTGTAATACACTCTGTGTCATATATAACAAATTAAAATTTTAAAAAACTCAACATACAAAGCCTGAAAAAAAAGGAATAGATAAGAATGATTTTTACTCATCTTGTCCAGATTAGGATGACAATATTTCCCTATTATTTTCTACAAATTTACTTCCTTTGAACTTTTTTCAAGGAGTTTTTGTTTCTTTTGTAATAAAAAGGAAAATTAAAAAGAAGTCAGTAGGGACACAATAAACACTGTGTAGTGTCATATATAATAACAGGAAACTTTCTTAGTTTGTCCTCGCTATCTACCTCTTCAGCATTTATATATTAACACACATTTTTTAGTATTGAATCACTAAAAGCAGACATATTTGTTGATGGTTTATATGCACCTTCAGTGAGATGAAAAGAAGAGCTTAAAATGTAACTCTCATTTTCTATAATTAAGATTTCTGTGAGCAATCATTTGTTACCAGAAATCATAAAATCTTGATGCTATCTAGAGTGATGTGTTTGTGCTGGCTTTAATTTTATCCTGTATTTTGATTTGTTCTCTCATAAATGAAATGGTATTTTTCAGATTCCACAGGAAAATGTGGGCCTCCTCCACCTATTGACAATGGAGACCTCACTTCATTCCCATTACCAGTATATCCTACGGGCTCATCAGTTGAATATCAGTGCCAATCCTTATATCAACTTGAGGGTAGCAAGACAGTAATATGTAGAAATGGAAAGTGGTCAAACCCACCAAAATGTTTACGTAAGTACTTCAGTAATCTCATGGGACCTGGGAAAATCAGCACCTTGAGTATGATAATTTTCTGTGTAAAATAGCAATAATTCACATATTAAAAAAGAAATATTCTGTGGAATGCTTCTCTACCAAATATTCATATGTGAGGAAATAAAGATTAATAAGTTATTTTTTTATTTTAAAATAATTAATAAATACAATTATTTATATATATATATATATATATATATATATATATATATATAAATATATATATAAAGTTTTTTATTAGCATGTAATAGTTGCTCTTATTAATGGGGGTCAGTGTGATTTTCCATATATGCATACACTCAGCATGATCATATCCAATCTCTATTTACCCACCCTACCATAACTTCTCAACCTCTATTGGTCACTATTCTACATTCAGGTCACCCTTTTTAATATTCCACATATAAGAGAGAATGTATGGGACTTATCTTTCTGTGTCTGGCCTATTTTGCTTAACATAATGGCCTCCAGTTCTATCCATTTTGCTGTAAATGACAAGAGCCAATACTTCTTTGTGGCTGAATAATATTCCCTTGTGTAAATATACTACATTGTCTTTATCTCCTCATCTATTGATAAACACATGTTCTCATTCAATATCTTAGCTACTGTGAATAACACTGCATGGGCATGCAGATATCCCTTTGGTATGCTGATTTCTTTTCCTGTGGATATGTACCCAGAAGCAGGATAACTGGGTCATAGGGCAGATCTAATTTAAGTTTTTTGAGAAAACTTCTGCTCTCCATAATGATCGTACCAATTTAAATTCCCAACAAGAGAGTGTAAGTGTTCTTTTTCTCTCACATCCTCACTAACATTTATTAATTTTAGGATTTATTGTTAATAATAGACCTTCTAACTGGGGCAATATGGTATCTCATTGTAGTTTTCATCTTCATTTCCCTGATGGCTAATGATATTGACTAGGGTTTTCTAAATGTATTTTTGACTGTTTGTACTTCTTTGAAATATGTCTATTCACAAATCATTTGCCCAATGTTTAATTGGATTACTTGTTTTTAGTTTTTTTGAGGTCATTATACATTCTAGGTATTAACCCTTTGTGAGATGCATAGCTGGCAAGTCTTTTTCCCATTCTCATCTCATTCTATTGACTGTTTCTTTAGCTGTGCAGAATGTTTTCAATTTAATATATCAACTTTGTCAATTTTTGCTTTTGTGGTTCTATCCAGAAAATTGTTGCTTGAACCAGTTTCTTATCTCTCCATATTTTCTTCTAGTAGTTTTAGAGTTTTCAGGTTTTACATTTAACCCTGTGTATATTTTGAATTTAATTTTGTACATGGAAAGAGGAATCAAGATTCAATCATCTGTGTGTGGATATCCATTTTTAGCATCATTTATTGAAGAGGCGGTCCTTTATCCAATGTTTTCTTTTTTGGAAAATTTTTTTGAAACTTTGTTAAGAATCAGCATATATAGATACATGGATATATCTATATCTATATCTATCTATCTATCTATCTATCTATAAATACACATATATATTTATACACAGGGGGGGAGTGTGTCTCTATTCTGTACCATTGGTCATCGTATCTGTTCTTATGCAAATACTATGCTCTTTTGGTTGCTATGGTACTGTAGTATGTCTTGAAATAAGTTACTGTGATGCTTACAGCCTTTGTGTATTTATTTTTTTCTCAAGATTTCATTAGCTCTTCAGGGTCTTTTGTGCTTCCATATGAATTTTAGAATTTTCTTCACTAGTTCTGTGAGAAATATTATTCATATTTTAATGGGAATGGCTTTTAATCTGTAAATTGCTTAAGGTATTATTACTGAAGGAATATGCTTAAGGTATTATTATCAACACTAATTCTTCCAATTGATTAGCATGGGAAATTTCTTATTTATTTTGTATCTTCTTCAATTTCTTTAATCAGTGTGTGGTAGATGTCTTTTGTTCTTTGCTGTTTTGTTTATTGTTGTAAAGATTAGTGAATGAGATTGTTTTTATTCTTTGGTTCTCAGCACATCATTTTTGATGTATAAAAATCTCAATGATTTTTGTATATTGATTTTGTATCTTGCTACCTTAATGACTTTATCCATTCTAATAGTCTTTTGGTGGAGTCTTTGGGGGTTTTTATATATTTAAACATATCATCTGCAGACACAAATAATTTGACTTCTCTCCTTTCAATTTGTATGCCCTTTATTTCTCTTATTTCACTGTTCTGACTAAAATTTCTGGTACTATACTGATTAAGATCAGGGAGAATAAATACCCTTGTTTCTGATCTTAGGGGAAATGTTTTCGACTTTTCTCATTTCAGTATGTTGCCTGTGGCTATGTCTTGTATGGCCTTTATTATGCTGAGGTATGATCTTCTCAAACCTTATTTGCTCAGGACTTTTATCAGGAAGTGTTACTGAAATTTTTCAAATGCATTTTCTATATCTATTAATCACATGATTTTTATCCTTCATTCTGTTAATGGTATGTATTATGTTTATTGATCTGAATATGTTGAACCATCCTTGTATCTCTGGGATGGAACTAATTTGATTATGGTGAATAATCTTTATGATTCTATGTTGAATCACATTCAGATTTGCTCATATTTTATTGAGAAATTTTGCATCTATGTCCATCAGGGTTATTAGTCTACAGTTTCTTTTTTCTTGTGTTCTTGTTGCTATGGTACCAGGGTAATGCTAGCCTCAGAGAATGGGCTGGGAATGATTCTCTCTCTTTCAAATCTTTGCAACAAATTTAAAAGAAATGGAATTAGTTTTTCTTTAAAGATTTCAAAAAATTAAAAAGTAAAAGCATCTAGTCATGGGCTTTCCTCAACTTTTTATTACTGATTCAATCTCATTACTCATTATTGATCTCTTCTGGTTTATATGTTTTCTTGGTTTAATTTTGGCAGAACCTATGTGTCTAAAAATTTATAAATTCCTTCTAGGTTCTCTAATTTGTTGGCATACATTTTCTCACAATAATCTCTAATGACTCTTTGTATTTCTGAGTTATTTGTTGTAATGTCTTTTTTGTTTCATCTTTTGTTTTGTTTGAGTCATCTCTTTTTCTTGGTTAGTCATATTAAAGGTATGTTCATTGTTCTTATCTTTTCTGATAACCAATTGTTGTTTCATTAGTCTTTTCTACTGCTTATGTATGTGACACCCTCTCCATCTTATCCTTTTTATAACTGAAAATTTATAGCATTTGACCAATATTTCTTTTCTTTTCTTTCTTTCTTTTTTTTTTTTTTTTTTTTTTTTTTTGTGTGAGTCTGGAGGTGGAAATCAGGGCTTGTGCATGCAAGGCAAGAACTCTACCAACTGAGCTACATCCCTAGCCTTTTGACCAATATTTTAATTAAAGAAAAACCAGCCAGTCATGGTAGTGCACTCTTGTAATGCCAGAAACATGGGATCCTGAGGCAGGATTATCACAGGTTTAAGGCAAGTCTCAATAATTTAGTGAGACATTGTCTCAAAATAATAATAATAAAAGAAAGAAATGTGGATGTAATTCAGGAATAAAGTGCCCCTGATTTCAATCTCCAGTCCAAAAAAGAAAAACAAAATCAGCCATGATACCATAATGGTTTTACACTCTAAAATACCAAGCTCTTAATATGATAAATGATCTTAAGAATTGGTAATAAAATATAATTATCACACATTAACCACCTAATTCTTACATCATTTACTATTTTTTTTTCTCTTAAATTTAATTTTTTAAAAAGCAGAAAAATACATACAAATGAAAAGAACAAAAAAGGAAAATACAGAGGCCAATGAATTCTTTTTGCATTTGGGGGCCAAAACCATATTTCAGGCTGATTCGTATGGACTAACCCTAACCCCAGGATGGTTTCTGTTGTGACCACAGTGTTGTTCCACTAGTAAAGGAGACCACATCTTGGTCTGGCTGCTGACACACTGCCCTGCTCTGGGCAAGCCACTTTATCTCCAGGACCTCAGTTTTCCCTTCTAAAGGGTTAGATCTGAACAGTGGTAAAGTCCCAAGATTCAGTTTCACATATTTTATTGCTAGTTTTCCTTTTCTAATTTTTTATTGGTGCATTATGATCATGCATAATGGTGGGACTTATTGTTACATATTCATGCATGCCACAATATATCCATACAATTTGGCCAATATTGTTTCCCAGTATTTCCCCTGTCTCTACTTTATTTTAATCTATCTGTTATTCATACAGAATTTGTTCAGGAAGAGTTTTCAGGAAGAATTTCTGAAATATTAAAACCATTCTACTTGAAAACCCCAAAGTCTTGGTAAAAGACTCTTTTCTAACTTAATATTATACTCACTTATCTCTTTCAGTTGCATGTGTAATATCAGAAGAAATCATGGAAAGATACCACATAACCTTAAGGTGGAAAGAATGGCAAAAGCTTTATTCTTCATCAGGGGACACAGTTGAATTTGTGTGTAAATATGGATATTCTCCATCAAAGCGAAATCAATCATTTCGTACAAGGTGTATTGATGGTCACCTGGAATATCCCGCTTGTATTAAGAGATACTCTTAATTTCATTAAAATGTGCACTTAAATTCAGAATTTTTATCATTAATCTAGCTTTCAATTTTATTTTAAAGTATTGTTTAACTCATTTTTATTCATAAATTAGAATTTGTGTTGATACCTGCTAATGTGTTTAGAATCTGAGAGGCTAGAGCCCCACATCTTAAAAGCACTGCATTCAAATTTGGCAAATCAAAGTGCCACGCATCCTATTTATAAAACATCTATGCAAGAAATTAGATGCAATTACTTTGTGCTTGTCTGTATCCATCATTCTCCAAACTGAAAGTTTTCTACATAACTTTTGGGGCTCTCTGAGACTGTGTTTCACAGTGCATAAAAAGATAGACTCTCCATCTTCAAAATTATATAATTCAGAAAGATCTAAATACCAAACAAAGTAATGACTTATATTAGTCAAAAATATAATCAATTACTAATTATTATTTATCCATAAGCAAATGTAAAAAGATGACATGTGAGCTTCTAAAATATATGAATCTAGTACATTCAACAATGTAAACAAATCATAAAGAGGAATAGAAGCTTAATTAGATATATAACTATAAAACTATCATAATTGTTACTATGTAACTATGGAAAAAATGGCAGAAAATGCAATAAAATCTGTAAAAACTATATTTGTGCTTAGAGGTAAGAGGATTGACTTGTTTAATTCCTTTAAAGAGACAGTCTCTAAATTATGGTGGTTTAATTTGTGATTTTTTTTTTTTTTTACTTTACAGTAGTATGAAAGTGATATGTATTCAGTAGAAATTGTACTTTAATCTGTTTCTATGACTAGAAATACATGATAGACAATTTTTATGGTATTGGGTAACAGCAGTTTACAGCATCCAATTGGCCTTGTGATCAACAAAGTATACTACAGGGTACTGTTCTGCTAAGCTATGATATATGATAGGTTGGTATATTAAATGTATGTTCAACTTAAAATAATTTTAATTTATCATAAGTTAATCAGGATGTAACATTCTAAATTGAGGAGTATCAGCATTTATATTATATTGTACAATTTTTAAACCTTTAATATACTCAGTTTTGAACTTTGAGAATAAGTCGTTTTAAGACAATAATGCCTAAAAACCAAGGTGATCTTGTGGAGAAATATAAACGCCTTATTGGTAATGATCTCAAGGTCAAATTATGCTTTAATGAGTTTTTTTGTTGCAGAAATATTTTTCTTCTGTTTTTAAAATTTCAGTAACAAGATCTTGAAGTGTAATTTTATATCTTTGCATTTCAGACAGCAGTATTTAGTTAAAATCACTTTGTCTAGAAACATTTTTTGATTTTTAAAAAGCTATAATCTTAGGATGAAAATAAAGATAAAGATAAAAATGTACAAAACTTTAAGGTGATAAATTGTTACCTCTTATTGCATAAAATCATAAAGCTTATATTAAACGCTTTCCTCTTGTTTGAGATCCTGATTTAGATAAATTGAATTGAGACAGATATTTTTCAATTTTAATGAAATTGGTTACAACAAACAAGTAATCCTTGTGTTTAATTTTAACACCTGAATATACTTAACTCAGTCCCATTGGGCCACTATAACAAATATAACTTGTCCATTGTGGCTTATTTTTAAAAGACATATCTTTCATACAGTTCTTGGAGCTGAGATGCCCAAGATCAAGGCACCAGCTAACTTGGTGTCCCAGGAGAGCTTATTCTGTTTTGCAAATGGCATCTTCTCACTAGGTAGAAGCAGCAAGGAAGTGCTCTACCCTTTCCTTGTAAGGGCACTGTTTCTACTCTTGAGGATGGAACCCCATCTCCTATTCACCTAAAAAGACTTCATCTTCTAATATGCTCACTGTGGTCACTAGGAATGAAACAGTGACATTTAGGGGGACACAAGCATTCAGGACATAGAAGAGAATAGGGAAGGAAAAAGACAGTCCATGCCACAGAACCAAAAGGCAGTAATGATGTTTACACTTCTATTTCACAGAGGAATTTCAGCCAAACATTGTAATACAGAGATAAAAGAAGGTCATTTTATACACACACAATCTCTCTCTCTCTCTCTCTCTCTCTCTCTCTCTCTCTCTCTCTCTCTCCAACATGGGAGAAGCTAAATATAAAAAAGCAAATGTTAATAGATCTTAAGGGAGAAATAGATTGCAAAATAATAATAGTAGGGTGCTTCCATACTCCATCTTTAATACAATAGATAGGTCATCCTGACAGAAAATCAATAAGAAAACCTTGGACTTGAGCTGTATGTTACACCAAATAGACCTAACAGATATCCATAGAATATTCTACACAATAGCAGCATACACATTATTCTGTAGTGCATACACAACATTCTCCAGGATAGGTCATATGTTATGCCACAAAACAAATTTCACATATTTAAGAATGCTGAAATTATATCAAGTATCTTTGCCAAATAAAAGCCCAAAATTATATATATATATAGTATCTTTGCCAAATAAAAGCCCAAAACTATATATCAATAACAGGGAATATTGGTATATTCACAAATATATAGAATTTGAATGACATCCTCTTGATCTTCTAATAGGTCAATGACAAAATTTAAAGAAAAATGACACTTACAGACAAACAAACATCAAAACATAGAATACTAAAACTAAGGTGCAGAAAAAGAATTTTGTAAGGGAAATAAGTATATAACTATAAATGCCTATGTGATTTAGATCTCAAATAAATAACAAAGCTTCAAACTTTATGCCTCAAAGAACTAGAATATGAAGAAGTAACTAAAGATATTAAGAGGGAGGAAATAAAGGTATCCAAAAAGAAAAAAAAACAATATTAAGAAAAAAAAGAAAAGAAAATACTCAGAAAACACTATTATGCATCTACAAAGCTAAAAGCTGATTTTTAACCAATAAACAAAATTGTTAAAAGTTTAGCTGGACAAATATGGAAGTAAATAAATTTCAAAATGAAGAAGAAACATTACAGTTAATAGCACAAAAATACAAAATGTACTACAATTCTGGTATGAACAATTATACCAGCAATTTGGATGACCTAGAAGAAATGAATCTTTGTAAAAAGTTGCAGCCTACCAGGACTGAATCACAAATACAAAATCCCAACAGACTGGTAATGAACAAGGAGTTTGAATTAGTTATTAAAAATTCTTTTATGAAAGAAAAGCCCAGGACCTGATAACTTTACAGGTCGGTTTTATAAAACGTTCAAAAGTTAACATGACATGGATGAACCCAACTCCCTTGTATAACTATGAAGATTTAAAAAAAATTATCACAAATCCTTTTCATATCCTTCAAAAAAACTGAGGAGTAGTAAGCACTTCCAAATTCATTTATGAGGCCAGCTGTTAGGGTCCGTAAACAAGTCAAGATGGCGCCTGGCATTTTGCCAGAGGGAGTGGTTGGAGAAGTAATGCCAGCAAGCCATTAAGATGATATTCCTTAATGACTGCTGTGTCTAGATTATGTCAATTAAGTTAAGCTGTGTGTAATTATTAAGATGAAGAGAATTCCTTAATGACCAATTGATGTATCTGGATATTAATTGAAACAAGCTGTGTATAATCAGTTAAGTGTATATATACCTCTACTGTCTGACAATAAAGTGGCTCCCGATGTATCAACCTTCACAAGTTCCTTGTGACTCGTCCCCTGGTTATTTCACCTAGCCAGACTGCGGGAGCCAGCATATCTTGACAACAAAGCTACACAAGTATACCAATATACCTGATGAATATCCCTGGTGAATAGAGATGTAAAACCTCTCAATATAAGATGAATTCAACAGCACTTTTAAGGGATCATAAGACTGACTCATCTGTGATTTATTTCTGGGACTCAAAGATGGTTCAATAAATACCAGTCATTAAATATTATATATTACATTAACAGAATAAACTTTTAAAATCATTATTATTCAATAGATGGAAAAAACAACATCATTTTATAATAAAAACTCTCAAAACATTTGGCAATGAAGGAGTTATTCCAGGACAAGAAAGGCCATATACAAATTGAATAATCCTAATCCAAAAATCCAAAATCTGAAATGCTAAAACTTCTGAAACTTTCTAGATAATAATGCCTAAATTGGAAAATTCCACAACATGATTCTTTGCTTCATGCACAAAATTATTTGGAGTGTGCATATAACTCTTTTTGGAAAATATTTATGTAGTGAATATGAAAACCAAATAAGTTTTGTGTTTAGGCTCAGGTCCCACCCCAGTGTATCATTGTGTATACATAAATACTTCAAAACAACAACAAAAATGTGGTCACGAGAATTTGTAATTAGGGATATTCAACTTGCATTAGCAGTCTACAATTGGTATCATACTAAATGGTAAGAAATTAAATACTTTACCTCTAAGATCAAGACTAAGGCAAGAATATCCACTGTCTTAGTCCACTTTCTTTTGCTATCATAGAATACCTGAGATTGGGTAACCATAGCATCCAAATTCATGCCCCCAAATTCACATCTTTCTCACACACAAAATAACATTCTTTTCATCCCAGTAGTTTCAAAGTTTTTACTTCCTTCAGCGTCAACTCAAAAGTTCCAAGTCCAAAGTCATTTAAATTGAGTATGGGTGAGACTCAAAGTCTAAATCATTCTAAGGCAAATTTTCTATAGCTGTGAACCTATGAATCTAAAACAAGTCACCTCCTTCCAGAATACAATGGGAAGACTGATATAGGATAGACATTTACTTTCCAAAAAAAAAAAAAAAAAAAAAGGAAAAATAGGCAAGAAGAAAGGAGTAATAGGCATCAAGTCCAGTGGGAAAACAATTCAGTCCTTGAGCTACAAAGTAATCTACTTTGATTCCGTGTCTTGCTGATTGGAATCAGCAAGGAGATGGGAATCCCCAAGGATTTCAAATTGACAGTCCTGTGGTTTTGTTGGGCTTAGCCCATGCTTCAGCCCTGTTGCACTGATGTGGTTCTAGAGTTCTGGGGTTTGGGGCAACAGTCCCTATTCCAAACTTGCCTCTGTACTACCATAATGAGAACCGTCTGTGATAGCTCTGCTCCCATGATTTCATTAGTCACTGCCCTAGCATGTATTCTGTGTTGTTTCTAGCTCTGACCCCACACTTCTGCTTAGCATTGCCCTAGTGGGAGCTCAGTATGCTGGTTCCATCCCATTGAAAGTCTCTGCCTGAGCCACCGGGTATGACCTTGAAATCTAGGAGGAGACTGCCAAACTTGCATAGCTCTTTGCAGACCTTCAGAATAAATTACTTTCATGTGAATGCTGCCAAAGTTTATGGCATGTACCCTCTGAAGCAGTGTGTCTAGCCATAACTTGAACTTTAACAGGGTATCCCCTTCTAGAAGTTGTCCTTGGCAAGATCACTCACTTTCTTTTCAAATCCTTTAATGCCTTCTCCCTGAAAATCAAAGGAAAATCAGTAGAATACAGAAAAGGGATCAGGGGGAGGAAAGAGGGAAAGGAAAGGGGAAATACTGGGAAAATATTGTCTAAATTATATTGATATGTATAAGTAAGTAACAATGAATCCCACTACTGTGTACAACTATAATGCACCAATAAAAAATATGGGGGGAAATCCCCTCCCTTTTACTCTGTATTTTAAGTTATAAGGAAAGGCCTCCCCTGCAGAGTCTAAATTCTGAAAGGCCTCACTTGAATAGTTTGGATGTCAAGCATTTTTTGATTCCCAAACTCAGGGGGCCTTTGTAACATTCTTCTTGTCAGCTAGCTTTGGGGGGTCAAAATCTATTGTGATAAGACAAATACACTCTCTGAGGAAGACCTGCCCAGCCTCCAAGCTGAGTTCATCCTTTCCTCTCCTTAAAAACCCTTTACTCCCTGAGCCTGAGAAAAATCAGAGCTTGAAAGAATTGTATGTGATTCAGCAAAAGCAGTATCAACAGGCAAGTCCATAGCAATAGGAGCCTACATCAAAAGGAGAAAGCTTTCAAATAAACAACCTAATGATGCACCTCAGGAAACTAGAAAAGCAAGAAGAAGAAAAAAAAAAAACCTTTAAGCCTCATATTATTAGGAGAAAAATAACAAAGATCAGAGTGGAAAAACTACAGAGACAAAAATAAATACAAAAAATCAGTGAAACAAAGATTTGGAGGTTTTTTCTTTTTTGAAAAGATAAACAAAATTGAAATAATTTTAGTCTTATCAAGAATAAAAAAGACACAAACAAATGAAGACAGAGGAGAAATGAGGCATGACAAGTGATATTACAGAAATTAAAAAACGCAATCATTAAGGAGTTTTATGATCTTATGCATACAGATAACAATAAATGTTGGAGAGGATGTTACCTCTAAAAGTGTTTCTATGATTCCATGGTGAATAAGTGTAAGCTAATTTTGAATAGTTATCTATCAAAAGGAAGAACAATTCTTTGTTGCAGCTTTTAGGAATCCTATTTTTTGG